TTATTGCGTATAAATAAATTTTAATAAATTTATAAAAAAAAAAAGAAGTTCAATTATTTTCTTGACATACTGTATATGTGTATATTAATTAAGTATGAAGATAAAAAGTATAAAAGTGATTCCAAAAAATTTTACTAAAATTCTGGACACGAATTGTGATAGTGTGACATAATATCTTATATAATTGAAAAAAAAAAGAATATATCAGAGCATCCTCTTGTCACTATATATTTCATTTAATAATATCATCTCATGCAATCAATACTTGATTAATTGCTTCATCTGTGATATTGATCAGAGCTAAGCCGAAGCAATCTAATAAGAGCATGTCAAAACAAACAACTGCTCTGCAAAATTTTTGTTCACTCCAAATTGTAGCTTTTTGAAATTTTGTATCTTTCTTTTTATTTGTATCTTTGCTAGCTTTTATGTTTATATAGAGCTTGAATTTCTCTTCAATCGGTTAAGTCTTTAACTATATTTTTTGAATTGGCCCAATATAATAATTTTTGATATAACATTAACGAAAATGACTTCAATGGACAACTGCATTATAGGTATATCTCGCCAAATCCATTCATTATTTGAGAATCTGTTTTTAAGGATAATTTGGATATATCTTGATTGATAATATCTGATTGATAGTATTTTTCATCTTCTGGTGTTTGTTGCAGGCTGCTATTGTCTTTTTTTTTGTGTTTTTTAATTTCTGTGCTCTTTTCTATATCTAGCTGCTTACTGTCCTTGCATTCTACAAATAAAGACTGTATTGATGGTAAGAATATTTTAAAAGAGTTCATATTCATCAAAGATCAATTCATTGAAAAGAACCATGAGTTTTGTAGCATGGAGTAAGAATATATATTGGATAAGATCAAAGACAAACCAACAGAGTTGATCATGGTGAGTAATCACAACTTCTGAGACCATTCCACAACTTGTTGTTCCAGTAAGGCCTTAAGTCCTGGTTATTTGAAGTTAATATCCAAGCCAATGTTGCTAAGAAGTTTATAGGTTGGGAATTGAGAGAGAAGGATCTGTTTTTGTTATTCAAGATCTTCTTTTTGCTTAAAACTGAAAATGCGAGCATATAGAAAACCTTTTCTGGTAGTAGTGTCGGCGGTATCTATGATGCAATGTGGCTGATCGGTCTCTTGTGAAACAGAATAATTTCTCACATATAATCTGCCCAGTCCTCACATATACTAGTTTGCACCAATAATATTTCGCGAAAAATACTATATAAGACGAAAAAACATGTCTATCACTTTGCTTTGCCTCGTTAAAGGAAATACTCTCGCGAACGCTTTTCCTGTTGAAATAGAGAAGGACCAGCTTGTTGGCCACCTCAAGAAAGCTATTAAGGCGAAAAATTCACCAGTGTTCGATAATTTTCCTGCAGACGAACTCAAGCTATGGAAAGTGCCAATCTCTGACGATCATATCGATCCCTTAAGCAATCTTTCACTCGAGGACGGGGAAGAGCTATTGGCAATAAATGAAATTGGAGACTACTGGACCGAGAAACCACCTAAGAAACATATTCATGTCTTAGTCTCTCCACCAGAGGCCACCACTGCTTCGAGAGAAGTATTGGAATTAAGGAAACAACTCGCCTCGTTGCAGGCATTACTCAACAAGTCTGAATATGGTACGTATGGTAGAGGAAAGAGTTGAAAACTTCGTTGGGGCCTAGGCTAATCATTGCTTGCTTTTGTAGAGTTCGATGTCATCGTTAGTCCGAAACGAACGAATGGATTCAAGTGGATCGTAAACATAGAAGAAGCGACCCTTGAATGCCTTAAAAATTCCATACGTGAAATGAACCTTGGGTTGCCAGCACTTGAAAATGACGGAGCGGTGCTAAATTTTACGTACGAAGCAAAGAGATACTCGCCTCGGAACGATCAAGACTTCAGCAAAATGCTCCGGCAGTTCGTATCGAAGAATAATTTCAGGTTTGTCGTGTTCATAGAGACCCCCTCAAAAGCTTTCTCGGATTGGACATTCCTAAAAATGTGTCAGCTTTACGGACTCGGAGAATCGGATGACCCATCATTGTCAGTATTCCCACCTTTTACTTGCGGGTGCAAAGACCTGGAAAATGATTCTTCCCAAGCAATACTTAAACATCTTATAGCCGAACTGGAGACCCGTCTCGAGTCAATTCCAATCAGTGTGAATGGTGCATCAAAATCACAGTATGTTTGTTCGTACCTTGTCGCCGGGGTAAGACTATATAAGGGAAAGTTTGAGGTCCGACCAGAAAAAAATATTTCGGGACCCCACGGGCATGGCCCAGTCGATTTTGCAATAGATTTACTGCAAACAGCAAAAACTGCTGGCGTAACGGAAGTAAAGGATGAAGATTTTTTCAAGGGTATTGCTCAGAATGCCGTTCAGCTCGAGTCAGATTTATCAAACCGTAAACGTAAGGCAAGCGAGATGGAGGAAGAAAGTGTGTTTACGGGTAAGACTTTCGGAATCATCACAGATGCAAAAGAATGGTATTTTATGGAGTGCTCGCTTGATGATCAGGACAGGCTAAGATTCAAACTGTCGGAACCAGTGGTCGTTGTATATAAGGACGAGAATATGGAAAACATGGTAAGGAAAGTTCTCGGACATATTGCATGGTTATTGGAGGAGGTGCAGAAGCCGGATTCGGATTCACGAAGTGAAGAAAGGGTAATAAAAAAGCATAGGTCATCGAGCAACATTACCGGAAAGTCAGATAAATAGGTTTTAGAATAGAAAAAATCGTCATGTATCCCGGGCAAAGTCCCGAACCTTTGTATCTATTTTTCGCATGTATTAATAAAAAATTTTCTTGGCAAATTTCAACGACGGCCCGTCGCCCAAAAATATGTGATATATTTTTTTATTTTGAATAGCTATATACAATGTATTAGTTATATATATAGATCATGTCATCCGAGCTTGAATTATTGAAACAGCACATCACTGAACTTGAGGCTGAGAATGTTGAGATTGCAGAGCTCAGGAAGGAGAATGCAGAGCTTAGAAAGGAGAATACTGATTTTAGAATGAAGTTCGCTAACTTTGAGGCTGAGAGAGTTGAACTTAAACGCAGGATTGCCGAGACTCTAAGAATGACAGAGGAAGAGAGAACGAGGCGTGATGCTGAAAATGTCAAACTCAAGGCCACAATCGAGGAGTTAAGGAAAAATAATACTAAAGAGAATGCTGAGCTTAGAGATAGAATCACGAAAGTGGAACAGAAGCAGACGCAAAATGATAATACTCCTAACAACTCTTCATCTAACTTCAATTTGGTTGCAGATCAGGTGCCGACGGTAACGCAACATGAAAAACCATTGGTAGATACTTCATTACCCAAAGACAAGGAAACGGACGCTTTCTTGAATGAGGTGCACAAGAAAAAGGTTAGTAATGAGATTAGACAGAGAAATCGGGAGCGCAAAGCCGAAAGAAAGAAACTTCAAATCCAAGAGTCTCTTCCAATACATCCCGAAGAGAAAATGTCTCAAGATCTCAACTCGGCTACTCACCCATGCAATAGCGCGTCATCGGAAGAAAAGATATGTAGCGAACTGGATTCAAAGTGAAAGAAGGGGAAGGGTGTGGATAAGCTTAAACAAGAATTATTTGCTCCGGAGTTGCCTTCACAAGTACCAATAGAACAAAATAAGTGACCAAAATTTCCGAGACCGCGGGTCCCGGAAAATCTAGCATCGACGAGGCATCGCAACATCTAGCTCTGTTATGTGATAAAGCTTTCGATGCTGAAGATGGTGCAAATCGTGCAAATCAAGAAGAAATATTATGTTGGTGTCTTTATGCGAAGGATTTCAGAAGTCAGCTCAATGGAATTATAGAAAATAGTGATGGTAAGTTTGGCGAAAAGAAGGCAAGAAGCCAACTATATGATTCCATTACAAAACATTTTAATTTGCTTCGCAAACAGAGATCTCAAGAATGGGGTCTACATCTTCCAGAAATATCCAGAGGCGCCTTGCGCAAAAAAACTCAGAGAGCTGAGAAAAATTTGTACATTGTTCGAAGAAATAGGCCTAGATAAAATCAAACTTATTAAAACTTGTAGTGCAAATTCCATTTCAAAACTTACTAACGACCAAATTAGAGATTATAGAGGAACAAGGCGACTCACCAGCAAACGCTTCCCAGGACATATCTTCGGAAAAGATTCCGGAGGTTTTGCATTCAGTATCAAATCATGTGACTTAAATTTCCGAGACCGCGGGTCCCGGAAAAATTTGCCTGAAATAAATGCACCACGTGAAAAAGAAATCAAATTACTTGAGAATTCTTCTGGCGAAAAATCAGGACTCCCGATTTCTATTTTACCTGATGATCCAGAAGAGAAACGAAGACATATAATTGGGTTGGTGTTAGAGTGTTTTCCTTCTCTATCTTTAAGCGATAGTAGTGAACGTGGTGAGCGATTTAATCTTAATAGTTCAACACACTGCCCATTATGTAATGGAGACCATAAAGAAAAAAGCAATGTGCACGTGATTTGATCGGAGTTGTATTTCTAGCAGATCTCTCGCGATATTAACGCGTAAATTTGTTTTTTGAATTCTATGAATGCACAGAATGCTCCATCAGAATTCTTAGATTCTCAGAATTTTTTATTATCTGTTGTTATCGGTATACGGCGAGTCTGTCGCTAATCCTAGGCCAAGACTCGCGTAACGATAGTGTATAGGGTCTTGGGTCACTTGCAAACCAAAGGTATGTATTAATAGACTTCCTTCTTCTGTATTGCTGGTCTAATTCTCTACCTCAATTCCTTATAGGTTTTTAGGATTCTTACAACAGCCAATAATTTCTCAAGGCAAGTATATTAATTTTATGGTATAAATACAAATGGTATTTTGTTTATAAGTGATATTCTATTCTCTTACTATTATGACTACTTCTAATTATAATTCTTTCTTTTTAATTAGCTAATTCTATTGCTATTTATACTTGTGGCGACACATTTACTAATCTACCATCACATTATGCAAATTAGCCTTTAAGCTTTTTTGACTTTTCAATTTATGATCCAATGTATCACATCAAGTTATGTGACTATAGGCAATCCGGACCAACACACACATTTTTTCCTGCTAATACTGTATAAAATAATTAATAATATACTGACACCATCTTTTTTAAAAAGTAATTCCTGATACAAAAAAAGCTATTAACTTGTTAAAGAATAAATGTCAATATCTGGAGGATATTATTTTTGCTAAGGATAAAAAAATTATCACTTGTTAATCAGATTCTTTCCAAAACAAAGTATAATGATATGATTATATAACCAGAAATATTAATTTTTTTTATATTACTAACAAATATTAAATGTGAGACTTTATTTAAACTTTTGTTTATTATTACAGAGAGACCTCCCTAAATGCACCCTCTATAAATGCACTTACTATATTTTCTCTCTCTAAATGCACGGTCAAGC